CATTCACATAGTATTTATGATACAATACTCTACAAAGAAGCTGAAGTCACGTACGTCATCCAATCGAATCATAGCATTGATTCACAAATGGACTTGTTCCGAAAAGGCTGTCCAAACAAATATACGTGACGTTGCAAACGAGATATTAGTGCCGAATATATATATATATATATATATCACTAAAGTGCCGGAAAGTTGCCTGATCGTGCGATCTACGTACGCTGTAAGTATACATAGGATGAGACAGCAGAGTCTGGAAATTTGTTCTTCAGTCGCAAACACAATTGGTTTGAACGTGAACAACACACGAAGCTTGGATGCACAGAAAGTCTGACCGATTGCTGATCTCAGCTGATGTGCTCCGATTAATATACCCGGATTTTTTTCTTAAACTCGGTGTTTTGTAAAGAGTTTTCCGTGCACTATATCATTTTGTTGACTAAACTCCCGGATACCCGTTACTTTCAAAGATTGATTTGATAGAAGCGGAGCTCTTCATCTAGCGCGTCTTCAATACAGATCTGTCTTGCATAGGCCACGAACGAGGCCACACGGTTGTCCGAACGGATACGTGAACACCACCCTGCGTGAAGATTAAGTCACTCACCAGTGCAATGGTTTCACACCTAACTGAACTAAATCACACTGTGGACGTGTCCGATGTTTTCCGCCGGATGCTGGCTACAGCATAAGCGGAGGGCATTCGTCTGCACAACTCTCTCGGTGTGCCCAAAATCAATTTGTGCAAGCGATAAAGCTACCTTGGCCCACCGCAATGCCCCCCCCACCCCGACACACACACACACAGACCGCATGACGATGATTGGACAATCAAATGTTACACGAAACTAATGGACGATTTGATTCAATTTCAAAGGAATTCCATTTGCTCTATACACGACGACTTCCATCTTGGAAACAAATATGTGATCGCGGTGAACCCGATTTCCGGTCTCATGATGAAATCGTTTCTAGTAATATAAGTGATTTTATTTTGCTTTCCCAAGACAAATTTATCTCCAATGAGTGCTGTATATATTGAAATGTATTGGGATGAATACGAATACCTGAAAACGAGCTCGTTCGTCACTCAGTTGTTTTGCTTGAAATGTACATACGTATATATTACTAAAATGACAGCTACCGGGCTGTGAAAGTGCCATTTATTGAGTTCAGTTCAAATCTTAACCATTACCATGCACTTTCGTGCACCCGTCTTGGTTGCTGCCTTTGGTGCCCCATTTGGATAAAATAGCAGAATGATGAAAGCAGAGTTAAGTGGAAGGCAGCACATTTTCATAGACTCATTTTACAAGTATGATGAGCAGATGCATGATCGTCACTGTCTGCGACACTCGGCTATATCGCCTAGTGTCCCTAGCCAGCGGTGAACATGATCTCTGGGTCCCCATTCAGGAAGCCTAACGGAACCTAAGCAAGCCAGTTTCCTGGTCGAGGTTTTCATACCCTCATGCCAGGTTTCAAGTTGGCAAATGCAAACCGAACGTTCTGTATGCGCGTCGACACTTCATCCGTGATACGTCCGCCAGATGAGATATAGCTGCCCAGAAAACAAAATTTGTCTACTTCCTCTACTACTTCCCCAGTTAGGGTGAGACTGAGTGCTGGAACAACCCAATCTTGTAGTAACATTTGACACTTCAAACGTGTAAAACGCAGACCGAACATGGACACACTAGCACTCAAACTATCCAGAATAGCTTACAATTTATCTGGATCTTCACTCAGTAGCACAATGTCGTTTGCATACTCTAGATCAGACAGACAGTCTATAACCTGGAAGTAAATCGATACCACTATCCTCGCACGAGGATAGGGCTGTTTCAATAATTAAATCTATCACGAAGTTAAATAGAATCAGAGAGAGAGAGAGAGGACAACCCTGTCGAACATCACTTTCCGTAGTGAACTCAGGTGAAAAACTGCCGCAAGCTCGGACTCGGGCTTCGGCTATTAGTATGAAGGGATTGTGATATTGAAATTAACTTCTCGAGCGCACCCTTCAGGGAAAGGCAGCGCCAGAGTTTAAAGCGGTCGACTGAGTCGAAAGCTGCTTTCAGGTAGAGGAGGATGGAAATGGTGGGTCTACGAAAAGAGTGTCTGCGTTCTAGAATTTGACGGAGAGTGAAGATGTGGTCGATAAAACCTAGACCAGGTCTGAAACCAGTCTGGTTTTCACGTGTGAGCGCTTCACGAGTGTCATCCATACAACTGTCTTGAGGTCCTATCCACATTTGTGAGTAGTATGCAAAATAGTTGGTGGTTTCTTTTAACGTTCCAAAAGTAACAAGACCATCGAGGACAAAGCGCTGCGTACAAGGAACAACTACCGACGGCTCCATGCATTACCCGGTGTGCTCCCAGGAACTGCGAGGATACGTTTCAAATGAGATTCTTGTGATATGATAACCAACAAAGAGCACTGAACAGCTATTTCGTCCTGTTTGGGACTCGTCAGCAGTGCGTACTTTTTGTGTCACTGACAGGTCTCGCACCGCGATCAGTCGAGTCGGGACTTCAAACGCTTACTCCTGAGCTACACGGTCGACGGTTATCAACTTGTGCGAATGGCTCAATCAATCTAGGATTAACCCATTCGATTGTTCAGAGGCACCAGACACTATCGGAGTGAAACCCACACCGAAGACCATCAAGAGTGCCTGGTGGCTCTGAAAAATCGAATGGGCTAATCCAAGCTTCATTTATATATATATATATATATATATATATATATGTTTGCTAAATTAGTGATATCCTAACGGTTATCTGCAATAAACAACTTCCCTCAACCGAGCACCGCCTTGTGGAATTATTATAACATAATTATTTGTTTGAGTTACGCGTATCGCCCTAACTGCGACTTGGTCTGGGGCAGCATTGAATTCTGCCGGAGTGAAACGCACAAATGATCGCATACACATGTGCACCGCAAGCAAGATAGACTGGGTTATATGATCCAATTTGGTGAAATAGACCTCGGAATCTTCTTTGCCGGTGAGGATGGTTGAACGAGAGAAGCACCACCAGCAATAACAACGCGCCGGTGTGACCTGAGGTATCAGGCATTCACACGTCATCAAGTGCACCGACTCCGATCAGTGGATGCACGCGCGCTAACCTCTGTGTGAGCGCGCCTATGCGCTGACTGTCACATACATACACAGCGGTGCCATTTTCTAAGGACAGCCGTGTGAGCTCAGTGAACACAGTCCAAATCAAGGGTGCACTTTATTCATCCAGTGTGGACAGAATTTTCAGTGAAAGGAATGCTATCACTTTTGGTTTGGCATACATGCTCTTAAAATGAGTTAAAAGATATGACAAATATTGATTGATTTGAACTAACTATCCTTCGGACTTTATCTTCATGTACAATCCCCAATTCATCGATTCAACCATACAGTCAGAAGCACTAGATTCGAGTTTCGCTCTTATTACAACTCATCACTAGAGCATACCCACCGTCCCGTCCGGAATTTGAACTCCGGACCCATAGCATGGAACGCGTGTGCATTACCATTGTGCCAACCAGCTCATACCACGGCTGAACCGAATCGCGAATTCATGTTTGTTTAGTTGTTGTCTTCAGTGATAGTCAGTCAGATCATTTGGCCCGACAGTAACGAAGGGAGACACAGATGACAACCTATTAACTCCAATCGAAAGCCTCCTACCAAGTCGAACTTCCATGCAGGTTACGGGTTGACTTGCCCCACACCTAACAGGCTTAACTGATCTTCGCATTTGACTCACAGTTACTTGTGAGTAGTGTGTGTGGGATAATTGATATTGATTGATTTGACTGACAAATGACAAACAGTTACTTAGACGATAATGAAGAGAACACTGAGAACGCGTAAAACAAAAGAAAACTTCAGTGTAAAAATTTACACTAGACTGTGTATAAGTACGTTTGATATTCGTTCCCTGGAAATCAAAAAACATGAAAGGTGGGGTACAAATGCGGTACAAAGATAGAAAGGTTTACATTTATTGCGGGTGACAGAAGTTGAAATGGAGCGAGATAGGTCTGAATGTAAAGGATGTCATGCATCGGACAAGACAGAGTCACACAGACGGTCACACGCCTTAAGGTGTTGGTTGACAATGGAATCAACTAGCTCCTCATAAGATATAGCTCCATATCTAGAGATGCTTTTTAGAGAGCGTCTAGCTAATGTGAAATCCTTAGACAGTAGACCGGGGAAGATAACGGGTGAGCGGTAGGTCTAAAAGCATAAAACGCACGAGAAAATAAATTTAGAAATGATGTACAATGGTACCCTCAGATGCCGAAGGCATGAAATATTAAAGGTCAACTTTCTGAGGTTAAGAAATGTTTGTTCTACGTGATAGGACCATTTGAGGCCAGCAGACAGGAAACATCTATACCTTTTCAACTGGCAGATT